TAGAACAAATAATTCTAAAATGTATGTGGAACCCCAAAAGACCCCAAATAGCCAAAACAATCTTGAGAAAAAGAACAAAGCAGGATGTATAACTCTCCCTGATTTCACACTATATCACAAAGCAACAGTAATCAAAACAATACGGTACTGGCATAAAAAAGACACACAGATTAATGGACCCATATAGAGAGCCCAGAAGTAAACCAACACACTTATGGTGAATTAATCTATCACAAAGGAAGCAAGAATAGACAATGGTAAAAAGACATCAATAAGTGATGCTGGGAAAACTGGACAGCTACATGTAAAATAATTAATTTAGAACATTTTCTCAACCCATAGACAAAAAATAAACTGAAAATGGATTAAATACCTAAATGTAAGACTGGAGACCATAAAACTTCTTGAAGAAAACATAAAAGAATGCTCTTTGTCATAAATTGTAGCAAAAATTTTTTTTGGTCTGTAACCTAAGACAAAGGAAACAAAAGCATAAATAAACAAACAGGACCTTATTAAACTCAAAAGCTTTTGCACAGCAAGGAAACCATTGACAAAATGAAGAAAACCTACTGAATGGGAGAAAATATTTACAAATGATATGATCAACAAGGGGTTAATATGCAAAATATATACACAGGTCATACAACTCAATATCAAAAACCCAAAATACTCAATTAAAAAATGAACAGAAAACCTGAATAGATATTTTTCCCAGGAAGACATACAGAAGGCAAACAGGCACATAAAAAGATGCTGAAAATTCATAATCATCAGTTGTAACTTGTCCTTTTTCAATTTTAATTTTATTGACTTGAGTCCTCTGCTTTTTTTTCTTGATGAGTCTGGCTAAAGGTTTATCAATTTTGTTTAACTTCTCAAAGAACCAACTTTTAGTTTCATTGATCTTTTATTGTTTTCTTTGTTTCTATTTCATTTATTTCTGCTCTGATCTTTATGATTTCTTTCCTTCTACTAACTTTGGGTTTTGTTTGTTCTTCTTTCTCTAATTCCTTTAGGTGTAAGGTTAGATTTATTTGAGATTTTTCTTGTTTCTTGAGGTAGGTTTGTATTGCTATAAACTGCCCTCTTAGAACTGCTTTTGCTGCATCCCATAGGTTTTGGATCATCATGTTTTCATTGTAATTTGTCTCTAGGTATTTTTTGATTTCCTCTTTGATTTCTTCAGTGATCTCTTGGTTATTTAGTAGCATATTGTTTAGCCTCCATGTGTTTATATTTTTTACAGTTTTTTTCCCTGTAATTGATATCTTGTCTCATAGCATTGTGGTCAGAAAAGATGCTTGATGTGATTTCGATTTTCTTAAATTTACTGAGGTTTGCTTCATGACCCAAGGTATGGTCTATCCTGGAGAATGTTCCATGAGCACTTGAGAGGAAAGTTTATTCTGTTGCTTTCAAATGGAATGTTCTATAAATATCAATTAAGTCCCTTTGGTCTATGTGTCATTTAAGGTCTGTGTCTTTACTGGTTTTCTGTCTGGATGATCTGTCCATTGATGAAAGTGGGGTGTTACAATCCCCCACTATCATTGCATTATTGTCAATTTCTCCTTTTATGGCTGTTAGCATTTGCCTTATATTTTGAGGTGCTCCTATGCTGGGTGCATATATATTTACAATTGTTATATCTTCTTCTTGGATTTATCCCTTGATCATTATGTACTGTCCCTGCTTTGCCTCTTGTAACGTTCTGTATTTTAAAATCTATTTTGTCTGGTATGAATAGTGCTACACCAGCTTCTTTTGATTCCCATTTCCATGGATTATCTTTTTCCATCCCCTCACTTTCAGTCTGTATGTGTCCTTAGATCTGAAGTGGGTCTCTTGTAGACAGCATATATATAGGTCTTGTTTTTATATCTATTCAGCCATTCTAGGTCTTTTGGTTGGAGTATTTAATACATTTACATTTAAGGTAATTATTGATAAGTATGTTTTATTGCCATTTATTAACTGTTTTGGATTTTTGGGGGGGTCTTTTTTCTCCCTTTGTCTTTTGTTCTCGTGTTGTGATTTGATGTCTATCTTTAGTGATGTGCTTAGATTGCTTTTTCTTTTTTGTCTGTGTATCTATTGTAGATTTTTGTTGTGTGGTTCCCATGACGTTTCGATATAGCAGTCTATATGTATACCAGACTGTTTAAAATTGTTGATCTCTTAGTTTCAAATGCATTTCCAATATCCTGTATTTGTACTCCCCTCTTCTCACAATTGCTTGTTTTGATATCATATTTGTGTGTGGATGAATTCCTACCTTTACTTTATGTTTGCCTTTAATGGTGAGCTTCTCCATTCATAATTTTCTTTTTTCTTGTTGTGGCCTTTTCTTTTCCACCTAGAGAATTTCCTTTAGGATTTTTTGTAATGCTGGTTTGGTGGTGCTGAATTCTCTTAGCTTTTGCTTGTCTGGAAAACTTTTGATTTTTCCATCAAATCTGAATGAGAGCCTTGTTGGATAGCATATTCTTGGTTGTAGGTTTTTCCCTTTCATCATTTAAAATATGCAGAGCCATTCCCTTCTGGCCTGCAGAGTTTCTGCTGAAAAATCAGCTGATAGCCTTATCAGGGTTCCCTTGTGTGTTATTTGTTGATTTTCCCTTGTGGCTTTTAATATTTTTTCTTGTCTTTAATTTTTATTTGTTTCATTAATATGTGTCTCAGTGTGTTAATCCTTGGGTTTCTCTTGTATGGGATTCTCTGCATTTCCTGGACTTGAGTGACTGTTTCCTTGCTAAAGTTAGAGAATTTTTGGCTATAATCTCTTCAAAAATATTCTCAGGCCCTTTCTCTCTCTCTTCTCCTCCTGGGACCCCTTTAATGCAAATGTTGGTGCATTTAATGTTGCGCCAGAGGTCTCTTAGACTGCCCTCATTTCTTTTCATTCTTTTTTCTTTATTCTGTCTTGTGGCAGTGATTTCTACCATTCTGTCTTCCAGCTCACTTATTCGTTTTTCTGCCTCAGTTACTCTGCTATTGATTCCTTCTAGTGTATTTTTCATTTCACTTATTGTATTGTTCATCTCTATCTGTTCTTTAAATCTTCTAGCTCTTTGTTAAACATCTCTTGTAATTTCTTGGTCTGTCCCTCCATTCTTTTTCTGAGATCCTGGATGATCTTTACTATCATTACTCTGAATTCTTTTTCAGGTAGCTTGTCTATCTCCACTTCATTTAGTTGTTCTTGTGGGTTTTTATTTTGCTCCTTTGTCTGGAACATTTTTCTCTACTGTCTCCTTTAGTCTAGAAATACACCCACACACCTATGGTCAATCTACGACAAATGAGGCAAGAATATACAATGAAATAAAGACAGTCTTTTCAGTAAGTGGTGTTGGTAAAACTGGACAGCTACATGTAAAAGAATGAAATTAGAACATCCTTTAACATCATACACAAAAATAAACTCAAAATGGATTAAAGTCCTAAATATAAGACCAGATACTATAAAACTCTTAGAGGAAAACATAGGCAGAACACTCTTTGACATAAATCAGAGCAAAATATTTTTTGAGCCCTCTCCTAGAGTAATGGAAATAAAAACAAAAATAAACAAATGGGACCTAATTAAACTTAAATGCTTGTGCACTGCAAAGGAAACCATAAACAAAATGAAAAGACAACCCACAGAATGGGAGAAAATATTTACAAACAAAGCTACCAATGAGGGATTAATCTCCAAAATATACAAACAGCTCATGCAGCTCTATGTCAAAAGAGCGAACAACCCAATAAAAAATGGACAGAAGGTCTAAATAGACATTTCTCCAAAGAAAACATACAGATGGCCAAAAAGCACATGAAAAGATGCTCAACATCACTAATTATCAGAGAAATGCAAATCAAAAAGAAAGAGAAAGACAAATACTATATATTATCACATATATGGAATCTAAAATATGAAATGAGTGAACATAACAAAACAGAAACAGGTATAGAAAACAAACTAGTGGTTACCAGTGGGGATAGGGAAGTGGGGAGGGGAAAGAGAGGCACAGGTGATTAAGAATATATGTAAAATAAATAAACTACAAGTATATATTATACAGCAAAGGGACTATAACCAATATTTTATAATAACTTTAGAGTGTAATCTATAAAAATGTTGAATCACTCTGCTGCATACCTGAAACTTTTATAATATCATAAATCAACTATACCTCAATAAAAAATGTATGTAGATCCCGAGCCCTCGATAAGACGGAACATAACTTCCTACTTTTTAAGTCTGGTATATACATAGTGACTTTTTTCAATAAAGTGCAAAATGGAAAGAGGGGGAAAAGAGTAATTTTACAGTGAGAAATCTGGAAACATTACCTCAGCCAGGTAATCAAGGTTAACGTCAACATGCACATATACTTGATATGATGAAAGGGCACTTTACCTGTGCATTTTCCTCCCAAGAACACATAAACCCAATCTAATCACAAGAAAAACATTACACAAATCCAAATTGAGGGACATTCTACAGAATATCAACCAGTTCTACTCCAAAATGTCAAGGCCATCAAAAACAAGGAAATTTTGAGAAATTGTCAAGAGGAGCTTAATAAATGTCCTGTGGTATTCTGAGTAGAATCCTGCAAAAGGACACTAGGTAAAAGCCAAGGAAATCTGAATGAAGCATGGAATTCAGTTAAAAATAATGTATCAACATTGCTTCATTGATTATAACAAATGTACCATACTGTTGTTATATGTTAATAATAGGGGTGTTGCTTAGGGGTGAGGTGTTCAATATGGGCAACAGGGAAATCTGGGGGGCGATAGCAGGGTCTAAAATTGAATGTGGTGATGGTTGTGCAACTCTATAAATTAATCAAAAGCAATGAATTGCACACTTACCATGGGTGAATTTTATGGCAAATGATACCTCAATAAGGCTGTTTTAAAATGCATTGGTTGGTATATTGGCAAAATGAGTATAAGCATAAAAAGTAATTTTTAAAACACTTAAAATATTTAGTTATAATTACCATTTCAGGACCACACACAGTGCCATCTTCTACAAATGTTTGATCTCTGTCTTCAGGTTTTTCAACTGTGGTCAGTGTATTTCTAGGTGTCTTCTCTGTGTTTAGAAATGTTGACGTACACATGTCATCTCGTACGTGTGTATAAATCACAGATAAATTTGTGCGTGTTACTAAAGCTTTGTGAGGCCAGGTACAAACTAATTTTCCACATAACATATTGCTAGAAGCATAATGAAGAAGAAAAGTTTCTTATTATTTACAGAAATAATGTAGATTGCTGATATAGCTAAATTTTTAAAGTATTTTACTAACTTAAATCCACATTTCAAAAATTTTCTCTAAGTAAATTTTTTTGAGCACACTGACTCATGTATGATGTGGCTTTTTTTGTTTTGTGCAGAAATGTAGCAAGGGAAAAATTAATCATTTTTGCAATCTGACAGCCATGATCTGTTCTATATTAGCTTCTGAAATTTGAGCAAATGATCATTGGTCTTTGATTTTTTTCATTAGTACAATGGGATAAGTAATTCTAACTACAAATATTTGATGTATATAAATATATATTTATAATATATAGCATAAATATATAATGAATATACAGGACCTAACACAATGCCTACCTCAGCCCATCAATAAACACAGGTGATTTTTATGGTCATTATTCTAACATTATAGGTACTGAACACATGTTGTTTGTAGGAAATAGGTAATACTGTTCAGCTCAGATCATGAAACAAGAGAAAACTTGTTATAAAATGGCATCTTAGCTTGTACATAATATGATCCAGAATCTTAGCAATATACAACCTACATTCCAAACAAAATTATAATTTTCTAAATACATACGGGTAATTACAATACTTTCGGCCACAGTTTCCAAATTTATCTCCTCTTGAATTTATTTCATCAAAACAAGCAAATGGAGCACCTCTAGATGCTAAAAGAAAAAAAGAAACTTAAGTAAGTAAATTACAACACACAATTCCAATTATCATGATAGAAATAATAGACTCAGTCTGGAAATTATAATGTTATCCCTAGGAAGGTTTATAACTACCTCACATTAAAAAGTTGCTGGGGATAGATCAAGATTAATTACTCAAATGGCTATATACTATTAGAAAAATAAGTAGTCATTGCCTCTCTATTCCTCTAAACTGTTTATGCTCTGCCTTAGTTATCTACCAAATGTGAAAATAAAGTTTGCTCTTACTACAAAAAAAAGAGGAAAGAGATGGGATTTATAATGTGATACTGATAAGAAGCCCAAAGAGCATTTGATTTAACTCTTCCTATTCCACACTAGAGTCCTCAGCTGTGTTCCCTAGTATCCTAACAATCACTAAACAAGAACTATTGAATTTTAAAATTAGGAAGGATGTGAATGTTCATCTACTTTGGCCATTTAAAATAGTTCTATCTAATTTTAAGATCATGAAAAATTAGAAGATATTTAAAGGTGCCCCATCACTTTGACTTGATGATTTAGAGGTGGGCAGTGTTGCTCATTTTAATCACATGTAATAAGAACTGAGATCTTTTGTTGTCACTACTTTTAATTGACAAGGGAATTCTCCTTAGCAATTTCACAGATTTTTACAGTTGGAAAACATGATCTATAAACTTCACTCTCTCTCCTGAAATTTTGTCATTTGCAACAATATGGATGGACCTGGAGGGTTAAGCTTATTGAAAGTCATATAGAGAAAGAAAAATACTGTATGTTTTCACTTACATGTGAAATCAAAAAAATAAATAAATAAAACAAGCAAATGACTGTAACAAAAAAGAAGCAGAATCACAGATACAAACTAGTTACCAGTTGAGAGACGCTTTTAGGAGTGGCAAATTATAGGAAGGGGATTAACAGTTACAAACTACAAGGTATAAAAATAAATAAAACATATGAATATAACATATACCACAAGAAATGTAGCCTATATTTTGTAATAACTTTATATGGAGCATAATTTATAAAAATATAAAATCAGGAATTCCCTGACAGTCCAGTGGCTAGGTCTCTGCACTTTCACTGCACGGGGCATGGGTTTGATCACTGCTTGGGAACTAAGATAACACGTGCCAAATGGTGCAGCCAAAAATAAATAAATGAGTGAATAAATAAATAAATAAAATCACTATATTGTATACCTGAAACTAACATAATATTGGAAATAAACTATACTTCCATAAAATAAAATAAATTACTGAATTAGAGGAGACAAAAAATAGAATGAAAAGGAATGAAGAAGATACCACCTGACCTATGGGGTACCGTCAAAGAATGACAAACACATCATTGCAGTCCCAGAAGGAGAAGAGAGTGAGGAAGGGATAGAATGCTTCTTTAAAGAAATAATGGATGATAATGTCCCATGCCTGGGAGGGATTTGGATATCCAAGTTTATAAAGCTAATAGATCACCTCAAAATTCAACTCAAAGTAATCTTTTGCAATGCACATAATCATAAGACTGTCTAAACCAAAGACAATGAGATAATTATAAAAGCAGCAACAGAAAAAAATTTTCTCATACAAGGAAACTCCCATAAGGATATCTAAATTTCTCAGTAGAGACTCAGTAGGCCAGGAGAGAATGGGATGATCTATTAAAACTGCTAAGAGAAAGAAACTGTCAAACAAGAATGTTTTAACCAGAAAAGCTGTTAATCAGAATTGAAGGGGAAATAAAGACTTTCCCTAAGAAACAAAAACGGAGGGAATTCACCACCACTAAACCTGTCTTACAGGAAATGTTGAAAAGAGTTCTACAAGCTGAAGTAAAGGGATGCTAATTAGTAACATTAAAACACATGAAAATGTGAAACATACTGGTAAAAACAAGCATAAAGTCAGATTCAGCATGCTCTAATACTGTAATATGGTGATGTGTCAACTTCTTGATTCTAATATAAAAGTTGGAGGAAGAAAGTATTAAAAATAGCTAAAGCTTCAACAACTTTTAGTGGGTACACAATATGAAAAGATGTAGTTCTCAGTACAAGAAAAATTGTTTGTAACTATACATGGCGACAGATGTTAACAACACTTATTGTGATCATTTTGCAATATTTAAAAGTATTGAATCACTATGTTGCACAACTGATATTAATATAATATCATATTTCAATTATACCTCAATTTTAAAAAAATGTAAATGGTGACATCGAAAATATGAAAGGGGATAAAAGGATAGAGTTTTTAATGTGATCAAAGATAAATTATCATATGTTTTATGTGAGCCTCATGGTAACCACAAAGCAAACACTTAAAGTAGATACAGAAAAGATAAACAGAAGGGAATCAAAGTATACCACTATAGAAAATCATTAATTTACAAAAGAAGGTAAAAAGAAAAGAATAAAAGAAAAATAGAGTTACAAAACACAAAACACCCAGAAAACAACAAATAAGATGGCATTAGTTGACTGTTAAGTAACGGTAATTCTTTAAACATTAATGAACTGAATTCTCCAGTCAAAAGACATACGGTGGCTGGATAGAAAAAAAAAAAGACCCTATTATGTGGCCTACAAGAGACTCAGTAGAGTATTAAGGACACACAGAATGTCAAAAGTAAGACATGGTAAAATATATTCCATGCAAGTGGAAGCCAAAAGAGAGCAAAGGTAGCTATATTTACATCAGACAAAATAGACTTCAGGCAAAAATAGAAACAAGAGACCAAGATGGTCATTATGTAATAGTAAAGAGGTCAATTCATCAAGAAGATATAACAATCATAAATATATATGCACTCAACAATAGAGCACCTAACTATATTAAGCAAATACTAACAGATATGAAGGGAGAAATAGACAAAAATACAATAATAGTAGGGGAACTCAACACACCACTTTCAACAATGGATAGTTCATTCAGACAGAAAATCAACAAATAAACGTTGGACATGAACCATACATTAAACCAAAGGGATCTGACAAACATATTCAGAAGGTTCCATCCAACAGCAGCAGAATTCACATTCTTCTCAAGCACACATGGTACATTCTCCAGTATAGAGCAGTGTTAGGTCACAAAACAAGGCTTAGCAAATTTAAGAAGACTGACATCATAGTAATTATATTTTCTGACCACAAAGGTATAAAACTAGAAATCAATAACAGACGTAAAGCTGGAAAATTAACAAATATGTGGATATTAAACAATATGCTCCTGCACAACCAGTGGGTCAAAGAAGAAATCAAACAAGAAATCAAGAAATATCTTAAAACAAACAAAAATATAACATATGAAAATCTCTGGGATGCTACAAAAGCAGTTCTAAGAAGAAAGCTTACAACAACAAATGGTACATTAAGGAAAAATAAGGATCTCAAATAAAGAACCTCACTTTACTTAACAAGGAAGTAGAAAAATAACAAACTAAGGCAAATGTTAGCAGAAGGAAGGAAATAACAAACATCAGAGCAGAAATAAATGAAATAGAGACCAGAAAATAATAGAAAGAAATGAAGAGCTAGGTTTTTGAAAAGAAAGATTTGACAAAACTTTAGCTAGACTAAATCAGAAAAAAGAGAGGGCTCAAATAAATAAGAGAATTTAAAGAGAAAATATTACAACTGGTACCACAGAGGACAAAGGATCTTGAGAGACTATTATCAACAATTATAAACCAACAAACTGGACAATCTAGAAAAAATGGATAAAATCTTCAAATACATACAAACTACAAGACTGAAACATGAAGAAATAGAAAATCTGAACAGACTAATTACAAATAAGGAGGTTCAAAAAACTTCCAACACAGAAAAGCCCAGGACCAGATGGTTTCACAGGTGAATATCAAACATTTAAAGAAGAATGAATGTCCATCCTTCTCAAACTCTTCCAAAAGATTGAAGAGAAGGAAACACCTGCAAACTCAATTTATGGGGCCAGCATTATCCTGCTACCAAAACCAAAGTGTAAGGATACTACAGACCAATAACCCAATAACCCCAATAAATACAGAAAATTACAGACCAGTAACCCAATAACCCCAATAAATACAGATGCTAAATTTCTCAGAAATATTAGCAAACCAAATTCAACATCACATTAAAATAATAATTCACCATGATCAAGTGGGATTTATCTCTGGGATGCAAGGTTGGTTCAACGAATGGAAATCAATAAATGTGATATGTCACATTAATAGAACGAAAGATAAAATTATATGATCATCTCAATAAATGCATAAAAGGCATTTGACATAATACAACATCCTCTCATGGTAAAAACTCTCAACAAATTGGGACTGGCAGGAACATACTGCAACACAACAAAGGCCATATATGACAAACTCAAAGCCAATGTCATACTCAGTGGTGAAAGGTTGAAAACTTTTCTTCCATGATCAGGAAAAAGACAACAGGGCCCATTCTCACCAGTCCTACTCAACATAGCACTGGAAGTCACAGCTAGAGCAATTCGGAAAGACAAAAAATGAGAAGCATCCAAATCAGAAAGGAAGAAATAAAATTGCCCTTGTTTGCAGATGATATGATCTTATATACAGAAAATCCTAAGACTCTACAAAAAAATTCTTAGAATAAACAAATTTGTTTAAGTTACAGGATACAAAACATATATGAGACAGTTGCATTTCTGCCCACTAATAACTAAACATTTGCAAAAGAAAAAGAAACAAAGAAACCAATCCAATTTACAAAAGGATTTGAAAGAATAAAATACTTAGGAATAAATTTAACCAAGGAGGTGAAATATCTGTCCACTGAAAACAAGGCTTTGATGAAAGAAATTGAAGAAGACACAAACAAATGGGAATATATCCCATTATCATGTATTGGAAGAATTAATATTATTTAAATGTCTGTATTACGCAAAGCTGTCTATAGAGTCAATGCAATCCCTATCAAAATTCCAATGGCATTTTTCAACAGAAATAGAAAAAACAATCCTATCATTTTTGTGGAGCCATAAAAGACCCCATATAGCCAAAGCAATCCTGAGAAAGAAAAATAAGAATCCAGGGCCTTCACACTTCTTGATTTCAAATTACACTAAAAGTTTTAGTAATCAAAACAATATGGTATTGCCACAAAAATAGACACACAGAACAATGGAACATAGTTAGGAGCCCATAAATAATCCCCTACACAGAGTCCACTAATATTTGACAAGGGAGTCAAGAAACTCAATAGGGAAAGGAGAGTCTACCCAATTAATGCTGTTGGGGAAACTGCATAACCACATGCAGAAGAATGCAATTGGACCTCTATCTTACACTGCTCAGAAAAATGAACTTGAAATGGACTAAAGACTCAAACATAAGACATGAAACAGTAAAACTTCTAGAAGGAAACAGGGAAAGAGCTCCTTCACATTTATCTTGGCAGCAGCAATTTCCTGAGTGTGACACCAAAAGCAGAAGCAACAAAAGCAAAAATAAGTGAGACTACATCAAACTAAAAAGCTACTGCATAGCAAAAGAAACAAGTAATAAAATAAAAAGAAACCTACAGAAGGGGAGAATATTTGAAAATCATATATGTGATAAGGCATTCATATCCAAAGCACATAGAGAACTCTTACAACTCCATAACAACAACAACAAAGATTCGAAAATGCACAAAGGATCTGAATAGACATTTTCCATAGAAGACATGCAAGTGACCAATAAGTACATGAAAAGGTGCTCAACATGATGAATTACCAGGAAAATCAAAACCAAAATCACAGTGAGACATCACGTCACACCTTTTACTTTTGCTATTATCAGAAAGATAACAAGTGTTGACAAGGATGTTGAGAAAAGGGAAAACTTGTATACTGTTAGGGGGAATGTGAATTGGTGAAGCCACTACGAGATTCCTCAAAATCTTAAAAACAGAACTACCACATGACGCAGCAAACCCTCTTCTGGGTACACATCAAAAGAAATTGACATAGGGATCTCAAAGAGATACCTGCACTTCCATGTTCATTGCAGCTTTATTCACAATATCCAAAATATATAAACAATTTACGTCTTCAGCAATGGATGACTGTAAATAAAATATATATGTATAACGGATACCAAAAAACTCCTAGAGGAAAACAGGGGGAGAACACTATTTGATATAAATCGCAGGAATATTTTTTTTTGATTCATCTCCTAAAACAAAGGAGATAAAAGCAAACATAAACAAATGGGACCTAATTAAACTTAAAAGATTTTGCACAGCAAAGGAAACCATAAACAGAATGAAAACACAACCTACAGACTGGGAGAAAACATTTTCAAATGATATGACAGATAAGGGGTTAATATCCTACATATATAAAAAGCTCAGACAACTCAACATTAAAACAAACAAACAAACAACCCGATTAAAAAATGGGCAGAAGAACTGAATAGAAATTTTCCCAAAAAAGAAATGCAGATGGCATGCATGGAAAGATGGTCAACATCGCTAATCATGAGGGAAATGCAAATCAAAACCACAGTATCACCTCACACTGGTCAGAATGGCTATCATCAAAAAGAAAATGAATAACAATGTGAAGAAAAGGGAACCATCGTACACTATTGGCGGGAAAGTACACTGGGGTAGCCACTGCGGGAAACAGTATAGAGGTCCTAAAAAACTAAAAGTAGAACGACCATATGACCCAGCATTTTCACTCCTGGATATATATCCAAAAAAACCCCCACAAAAACATTAATTCAAAAAGACACATGCCTCCCAATGTTCACAGAAGCACTATTTACAATTGTCGAAGCAACCAAAGTGTCCATCAACAGATGAATGGATAAAGAAGACGTGGTGTACGAGTACACACACACACACACACACACACAATGGAATGCTACTCACACATAAAAATGAATGAAGTTTTGCCATTTGCAACAACTTGGATGTACTTGGAGGTCACTGTTAACTGAAATAAGTCAGAGAAAGACAAATACTGTATGATATCACTTATATGTGGAATCTAAAAAATATATCAAAGTAGTGAATATAACAGAAAAGAAGCAAACTCACAGATACAGAAAATAAACTAGTGGTTACCAGGGGGACAGGCAAGGGGAGGGAGTCAATATAGGGGTAGGAGGTTAAGAGGTATAAATTAGGTATAAAACAAGCTACAAGAATATATTGTATAACGTGGGGAATATAGCCAATATTTTATGGTAACTATAAAAGTAGTATAAACTTAAAAAGTGTGAATTGCTATATTGTACACCTGTAACATCTATTATTACTGTATATCAACTATACTTCAATTAAAAAATTAAGGAGAGGGGCTTCCCTGGTGGCGCAGTGGTTGAGAGTCCGCCTGCCGATGCAGGGGACACAGGTTCGTGCCCCGGTCCGGGAGGATCCCACACGCCGCGGAGCAGCTGGGCCCGTGAGCCGTGGCTGCTGAGCCTGCGCGTCCGGAGCCTGTGCTCCGCAGCGGGAGAGGCCACAACAGTGAGAGGCCCGCGTACCAAAAAAAAAAAAAAAAAAAAATTAAGGAGAGAGAAAATCTCTCCAGACAAACAAAAGCTGAAGAAGTTGATGATCACTAGACTTGCCATATATGAAGTGCTGAAGTAAGTGACATCAGCACTGTGTTGGCAGAAGGGATCCTTCCTTTTTGTCCCCCCACTTAAAAAAAATCCACATACATTTACTACCTATGAATTCTATTTTAGATGCTCATGAAAGCAGAGGATGGGAGGAAACAGTTCCCAAGCTTCAAGAAATTAAAGGTTTATATCTAACTATACAAAATATGATGATAAAATGGTAAAACACTAATTGCTAATGGGCTTCAGAGTAAGGAAATTATGCAATGAAGCTTTAAAAAATATGGAGCTGGATTATTTTAAAGAAATTTAAAAAGAGGTAGGTACTATATATCGAATAAATTGGTTTTTGTTTTCTACAAATTTTTATTGTGTTAAAATACACATAACGTTTACCATCTTAATTATTTTTAAGTGTTCAGTTCGGTGGTTCATTGTGCATTCACACTGTTGTGCAACCATCACTACCATCCATCTCCGTAACTCTTTTTATCTTCTAAAATGGAAATTTTATACCTATTGAATAACAACTCTCCATTCTTCCCTTCCCCAGGCCCCAGCTACCCCATTCTACTTTCTGTATCTGTGATATTGATTACTAAGTACCTCATTTCAGTGGAATCATACAGCATTTGTCTTTTTGTAACTGGCTTAGTTCATTTAGCATAATGTCCTCAAGGCTCCTCCATGTTGTACTTTGTTGCAAAATTTCCATCCTTTTTAAGACTAAATAATATTCCATTGTGTATATACACCGCAGTTTGCTTTATCCATTCATCCACTGATGGACATTTGGGTTGCTTCCAAGTTTTAGCTATTGTGAATAATGCTGCTATGAACATGAGTGCATAAATATCTCTTCCAGACACTGCCTTCAATTCTTTTGGGTATACCCAGAAGAGGAATTGCTGGGTCATATGGTAATTCTATTTTTAATAATCTGAGCAATCTCCATACACAGAATAGTGGTGATGCCATTTTACGTTCCCACCCACAGTGCACAACTGTTGCAATTTTCCCTCATCCTCATCATTTGTTGTGTTCTGTTTTTCTGACAGCAGCCATCCTAATGGGTGTGAGGTGGTATCTCAGAGTTTCCATGTGCATTTCCCTAATGATTAGTGGTGTTGAGCTTCTTTTCATATGCTTATTGGCCATCTGCATGTCTTCTTTAGAGAAATATCTATTCACATCATTTGCCTGTTTTTGAATCGGGCTGTTTGTTTTCTGTTGCTGAGTTTTAGGAGTTTTCTATATATTCTGGATATTAATTTCTTATCAGATGTACGATTTGCAAATATTTTCTCTCAGTGGAACTACAAAACATCCAGAAAGCAATTAATGAGATGGCATCTGGTAAGTCCTTATATTTGGGGTCAGATAATTCCTTCTTATAGGGGCTGTTTTGTGCATGGTAGGGTATTTAGTAGCAACCCGGACTGCCACCCTCTAGAAGCCAGTATCAGTCCCACCCCAGCTGTGAAAACCACAAAGGCCTGCAGGCGCTGTGTCTGGAAGGAAAAGGCCATGGATGCTGCTAAAAATGCTAAAGTATACAGGATCCCACACCCCTCACAGCAAGAACTGCCCGGCCTAAGATATTCACAGTGCTGAGGTGGAGAAACCCTGACGTAACTGTTCGTTTTGCACTCACATTGCTTTATGTGTCAAAACAAAAAGAGCAATGTTCTCCTGTTATCAGCAAGATGACTCCTTAGGAGATAACATTCCTTTCTCAATCCTGTAAGGGTTTATGATGAACCACTACTTGTCTTCTACACGCAGATCTGGACTATGTATACTGTCAGTATGTTACTTTCATGTATAACCCTTTGTCTTGAAAACATATATAACTTTGCCTTGACCTCTAATGGGCAGAACGGTTCTCAGAGCTTTTTGGAAGACTATCTCCTGGGTTATAATCCTCAGATTGGCTTGAATAAAATTCTCTATTTCTTTCTTAGGTTGACTATTACTTAATTATTTTGTCAATATAATCTTCCAAGAAGCTGCATTTCCACTTGAGGTCTCTCCCTTGTGCAAATAAGGATTCCTTATAAATTCAGAAGTTTTTTCTCAGAATCAAGAAAACTTTACTTCCTTTAACACTAATATACATTAGGCCTACAAATAGGATACACTTATTTTAAAATTACACTTACATTTTTGTTTTATAGCATTAAATAACAGAGCTTGGGATCATCAGAATTTAGGAACTAAGAAGAAAATAGTGGTCATTACCTCCTCCAATTAATTTTCTGCACTGTCTGGTAAACGACCGACATCGTCCTTTATAACAGAAGGAGTCGCCCGAATCACAACTCTGTCCATCACGTGCATAAGTGTCAGGCACACAGTGTGCGTTATTCCCATCACAGAATTCTAGAAAATCACATTCATCAACTGGTTGCCTACAAGGTGTATTAACTGGTTTTATCTGGAAGAGAAAAGAAACATAAGAAAAAAATTACATATAAATGATACCCAAGTTTTCTTTCTCTTTCAGTCTTGAAGTTTCCATCCATTTTTTCTAAGTTGTTAAGAGCAATGAGGAAATTGTCTTCTTGTTAACTACTTAAGCATTGCACAGACATTTAGGTGATAGAATTTGCTGTGCTAAAGGAGTGGGTATTGCTTGTGAGAGATATGAGAAACTCAGAGATAAGCAGACTACCATAATTATAAAAAAGAAAGAAAGTAGAGCTAAATGATTATTATAAAAATTATTTTCAACCCACTAAGGATATGCTCACATGGGCAGACTCTGGTTTCTCCATATGCCATCCTTAAAGTAGAAATCAGCAACCATTTACAAAACAATAAATATGCCTCATAAACATTTCGAAAAAAGTTTGCAGGACACATAAGAGAAGGTTTGTTTCATGTACCACATTGAAAACAACTGTAAAAAGTAACTTGTCCAATTATATATCTCTGATCTCTTCAGTGTTCACTGTTAGCTCATAGCTTCCGGGGTTCCCTTTATGCATATCTGCTTTTGAAAACAAACATATAAATACCATGACTGCAAACCCTTTCCTCAACACAAGTCCCAATTCCTTACGGCTATCATCACTATAGTACACAAACTAAGTCAAATTTGTTCTGGCTTCAAAGGTCCTAGAGACCCAGATTATATAACATTCACTGCCCTGCCTCTGAAAGAGGGTTTCTAGATAGTTTTCTCATTTACAACAAGTATCTGCTACCTGAAGCAAATCGGACACAAGTTCTCCAAGAGATGGGTGGGAAGACAAAACAACACTTGTGTTACCCAAGCTTATAGAGTTAGCATTCAAATCAAAACAAATAATCAAAATTGTTTTCAAAAGAAAATACATATAATGAGAAAGTATTAATATTTGTTTCTTCAGAATATACTTTCTTTTACAAATGTGTATAAATGGCAATCTTCCTTTTATTCTAATTTCTTTTACCGTTAAAACTTTACTTTTTACAGCTGTTTAAGGATCACAGAAAATATGAGGAGAAAGTACAGAGATTTCCCATATAACCCCTGCCCTACACACGCAAAGCATGTATTGCTAGAGTGCTACATTTGTTGCAACTGATGAACTTACACCGACACATCATAATCATTCAAAATCCATGGTTTATATTAAAGTTCACTCTTGGTGTTTCACATTCTACAGGTTTAGACAAATGTATAACGACATGTATCTACTGTTGTGGTATCATACAGAGTATTCGCACTACGCTAATAATCCTTCATGCTCTTCCTAGTCATCTCCCCCTCAGTGCCTGGCAACCACTGATCTTTTCACTGTCTCCATAGTTCTGCCTTTTCCAGAATGTCATATAGTTGGAATCATACAGTATATAGCCTTATTAGAGTGGCTTCTTTCACCCAACTTCTTTTTCAATACTTAAATACCCAGATCCACAAATGTCCTTTGAACCAAGCTTTATCACTGTACTTGCTCCTCCATTAAAGGGGGTTTATTTTCCTTTCCACGGCTCTCTGATTCCCAAACGAGCCTAAAACATTAAACCTTCTGGCTCCTTGTTCCACATTATTTTCTCCTAAAATATTTTTATTTTGTTTTTCCTTGTATTTTTTTTTATTTTTATTTTTTTTTGCGGTACGCGGGCCTCTCACTGTTGTGGCCTCTCCCGTTGCGGAGCACAGGCTCTGGACGCGCAGGCTCAGCGGCCTTGGCTCACGGGTCCAGCTGCTCCGCGGCATGTGGGATCTTCCGGGACTGGGGCATGAACCCTTGTCCCCCGCATCGGCAGGCGGACTCCCAACCACCGCGCCACCAGGGAAGCCCTCCTTGTAATTTTTAATTTATTTTTATTCTTGCCAAGACTATCAGTCTGCATATGTAATGTATAATTCATATACAGGGCTGTGTCCCTTTACACAACTGAACCAGGGATGAGTGAGTTAATTTACTGCTTCTGACCATCATATCAGCCTTAACAGCACAGTAAAAAAATTACTGTGTATTTCTGAAAAATCATAGTCTGGGCTATGTCCCTTTCCATAATTGGGCCCAGGAACTAATTAGAATCATAAATACTATCCCAGTCTCAACAGCAGTTGTTCAGGTAACCTTCTGGACATGTGAATCTTGTTTGTGCAGCAGAAAAATATTTCCTTTTGGCACACGGATGACACTACATAACTATACTAGTTGTATTTGACAGGTTGGTTGTTTTTTAACATCTTTATTGGAATATAATTGCTATACAATGTTGTGTTAGTTTCTGCTGTATAACAAAGTGAACCAACTATATATATCCCCATATCCCCACCCTCTTGCCTCTCCCTCCCACCCTCACTATCCCACCCCTCCAGGTGGTCACAAAGCACGGAGCTGATATCTCTGTGCAATGCATCTGCTTCCCACTAGCTACTTATTTTACATTTGGTAGTGTATATATGTCAATGCTACTCTCTCACTTCATCCCAGCTTACCCTTCCCTCTCCCCATGTCCTCAAGTCCACACTCTACATCTGCGTCTTTATTCCTGTCCTGCCCCTAGATTCATCAGAAACTTTTTCATCTTTTTTAGATTCCATTTTTATGTGTTAGCATACAGTATTTCTTTTTCTCTTTCTGACTTACTTCACTCTGTATGACAGGCTCTAGGTCCATCCACCTCACTACAAATAACTCAATTTCATTTCTTTTTATGGCTGAGTAATATTCCATTGTATATATGTGCCACTTTTTTACCCATTCATCTACTGATGGACACTTAGGTTGCTTCCATATCCTGGCTATTGTAAATAGTGCTGCAATGAACATTGTGGTACATGACTCTTCTTGAATTATGGTTTTCTCAGGGTATATGCCCAGTAGTGGGATTGCTGGGTCATACGGTAGTTCTACTTTTAGTTTTTAAGGACCCTCCATACTGTTCTCCATAGTGGCTGTATCAATTTACATTCCCACCCTCTCCAGCATTTATTGTTTTCAGATTTTTTGATGATGGCCATTCTGACCCGTGTGAGGTGATACCTCATTGTAGTTTTGATTTGCATTTCTCTAATGATTAGTGATGTTGAGCATCTTTTCATGTGTCTGTTGGCAATCTGTATATCTTCTTTGGAGAAATGTCTGTTTAGGTCTTCTGCCCATTTTTGGATTGGGTTGTCTGTTTTTTTTGATATTGAGCTGCATGAGTTGCTTGTATATTTTGGAGATTAATCCATTGTCAGTTGCTTCATTTGCAAATATTTTCTCCCATTCTGAGGGTTGTCTTTTCGTCTTGTTTATGGTTTCCTTTGCTGTGCAAAAGCTTTTAAGTTTCATTAGGTCCCATTTGTTTATTTTTGTTTTTATTTCCATTTCTCTAAGTGGTGGGTCAAAAGGATCTTGCTGTGATTTATGTCAGAGTGTTCTGCCTACGTTTTCCTCTAAAAGTTTGATGGTGTCTGGCCTTACATTTAGGTCTTTAATCCATTCTGAGTTTATTTTTGTGTATGGTGTTAGGGAGTGTTCTAATGTCATTCTTTTACATGTAGCTGTCCAGTTTTCCAGGCACCACTTATTGAAGAGGTTGGCTTTTCTCCATTTTATATTCTTGCCTCCTTTATGAGAAATAAGGTGATCATATTGCGTGGGTTTATCTCTGGGCTTTCTATCCTGTTCCATTGATCTATATTTCTGTTTTTGTGCCAGTACCATGCTGTCTTGATCACTGTAGCTTTCTGGTGTACTCTGAAGACCAAGAGCCTGATTCCTCCAGCTCCATTTTTCTTTCTCAAGATTGCTTTGGTTATTCAGGATCTTTTTTGTTTCCATCCAAATTGTGAAATTTTTTGTTCTAGTTCTGTGAAAAATGCCATTGGTAGTTTGATAGGGATTGCACTGAATCCACAGATTGCTGAGGGTGGTATAGTCATTTTCACAATATTGATTCTTCCAATCCAAGAACATGGTATATCTCTCCATCTGTTTATATCATCTTTAATTTCTTTCATCAGTGTCTTATAGTTTTCTTCATACAGCTCTTTTGTCTCCCTAGGTAGGTTTATTCCTAGGTATTTTATTCTCTTTTTTGCAATGGTACATGGAAGTGTTTCCTTAATTTCTCTTTCAGATTTTTCATCATTAGTGTATAGGAATGCAAGAGATTTCTGTGCATTAATTTTGTAACCTGCTATTCTAATAGTTTTTTGATTAGCTCTAATAGTTTTCTGGTAGCATCTTTAGGATTCTCTATGTATAGTATCATGCCATCTGCAAACAGTGACAGTTTTACTTCTTTTCCAATTTGGATTCCTTTTATTTTTTTTCTTCTCTGATTGCCAAGGCTAGGACTTCTAAAACTACGTTGAATAAAAGTGGCAAAAGTGAACATCTTTTTCTTGTTCCTGATCGTAGATGAAATGCTTTCAGCTTTTCACCATTGAAAATGATGTTGGTTCTGGGTTTGTCATATATGGCCTTTATTATGTTGAGGTAGGTTCCCTCTATGGCTTTCTGGAGAGTTTTTATCATAAATGGGTGTCGAATTTAGTCAAAAGCTTTTTTTGCATCTATTGAGATTATCATATGGTTTTTATCCTTCAATTTGTTAATATAGTGTATCACATTGATTTACATATCCTGAAGAATGCTTGCGTTCCTGGGATAAACTCCACTTGATCATGGTGTATGATCCTTTTAATGTGCTGTTGGATTCTGTTTGCTAGTATTTTGTTGAGGATTTTTTTGTGTGTGTGACATCTTTGTGTGGTTTTGGTATCAGGGTGATGGTGGCCTCATAGAATGAGTTTGGGAGTGTTCCTCCCTCTGCTATATTTTGGAAGTGTTTGAGAAGGATAGGTGTTAGCTCTTCTCTAAATGTTTGACAGAATTCGCCAGGGAAGCCATCTGGTCCTGGGCTTTTGTTTGTTGGAAGATTTTTAATCACAGTCTCAATTTCAGTGCTTGTGATTGGTCTGGTTATATTTTCTATTTC